CCAAAAAAGAACAGCTGCGTGGAGGAACCAAAACTGCTAGGTCTAAGTCCAGGCTCCAATGAAAAGGTTTGCTTTGAATTCTGATAGTTTGTTGATTTATGGTGGAGTAGTAGCTTTTCTTGAATTTATCATTTGCAAGTTATGTTTACACTAAAAAAAAAAACTATGTACTCTTTCAGGTTCTTCTGAAGAAAGGTCCTTACGGATGCTATGTACAACTTGGTGAAGACAGGAAGACTAATGCACCTAAACGAGCCAACGTATCCCATGTATGTTGAAGTTGTATTGTAACTCCACATTGGAACATTGTATTCTTGTTCTGTTCATTTACACGTCTTCTTGCCACTTCTTGTGTTCATTAAAAAAATGTTGTCCAAAATCATATCCATAATACTTAACTATGTACTGTCCTTCATAGTAGATGTTTTTACCGATGCCTTTTACTTTCCTTTTGCTCCTTTTTTTTCCTCTTCCGTCTTTGTATGCATGCACATGTATCGAAGATTTACCATGCTTTTATTTGAAATCTGAATCCATATTTTCACATGAAATTTTCAGATAAAGGATGTGAATTCGATTACCCTTGAATATGCGCTGGAGTTGCTGCGATATCCTGTGACTTTGGTTTGTTCTTCATTCTGATTGCTGAATTCCGTTTCCTGCTCTTCATCATCCTTGAACTTATTCTTTCTTCCTTTCCCTGATTTATTTTAATTTCAGGGAGACCATCCAGCGGATGGACAACCAGTCATTTTAAAGGTGGCAAAGGTTGGGTTTGCAGTTAGACATCGGCGCACAATTGCTTCTGTTCCTAAGGTATTTTTTTATACATTCAGAATTTTACGTCTGGAGTTTTGATCAACATTGCACAAAGTTTTACCAAGTTTAATGATCTGGGTTATCTTAATTACACATGCAGGATATGAAACCCACTGAAATCACCCTCGAGGGCGCATTGAAGCTTTTGTCTGGTAAGGATGTAAGAAAATGTGGTCGACCTACGAGAAAACAAATTGAAGAAGCCCAAGCAGCCCTATGATGATCACTACCTTTCGCAAATCAATTCATATGAACATTTCACCAATTGTCCCTCTCAAAGTGGTTCAACTGAACATGGGATGCAGAACTTCGTTCGGCAGGAAGGGACGTGTGTATGCACTTACTGCACGAGCTCCGAATTTAGAAGTGCTGAACAAACTGAAGAAACAACTTAGTTTGTGCACGTACCTGCATTGATTTACTTATGATTGAGGACTGAATGAAGCCATTTTGTACTATCGAATTCGTGCATTTGCTTATTGTATACCGTAGATATCAGCGTATTTCATTACCGTATAGGATTACGGTATTGAGTTTAGCTAGTAATTGGTCATTGATTTGATCTGAGTCGCCGGCGGGAATTTTGCATGTTTGTAGAGTATATAGAAGTTGGAATGTTTTTATACTTTGTTACGAATTGTGGCATTTGAATTTTGTTCAATTAAATAATTTACTGAATTGTTTCATAAATGTAATTCCATTTTTGGTTTTCTGAAGGTGTAAAAATCAGATGGGTTTGGCGTGCTTTATTTGGTGTATCTTACGCTCCCACGATTTATAAATCTCCAATTCTCATCAAGTTTCCTTTAGTTCTTCCATCCGTATTTGTAAAGTGGACGTGAGCTACGCAGTTTGAGCCTCGCACAAGTTTTTCTTATGATGCACTTAAACGTGCTTGAGGGAGAATTGAGTTCGCAAACTACAATGCTACGAACCCCAACCCGATTTTGAGAACAAAATGATAAAGGAAGTTAATTTTGCACTTATTTTTATCCTAACAAACACGATTAATGACTCGTTTAGATGTGTTGTTAAAATGGCTGAAAACATTTTTAATGGAAATAGCCTCCAAAAACACTGGAAGTGCATGCAAGAAGGCCTTTTGCATAAAACACTTAGTACTTTTTGCAGAAAATACTTCAAATGTTTTTTTTTTTTTTAAATTCACTTGTTTTTACTAAAAATAAATTTCAAAAATATTTTTAATCATTGTAAAAACAGAGATAAGAATTAGCGTATTTACCACCATTTCTCAACGCAAAAAAAAAAAAAAAAAAAAAAAAAAAAAAAAAAAAAAAAAAACAAACACCAAAAGGAACAATTTTGAGAGTAAATAAAATAAATATTTACATTTTTTTGAAAATCTAAGCCATTAAAAAAGATGCAAAAATCATCTCATCGTTTACATAGATGTTATATGAATTAATTACAAAGCTCAAAATTCATTCTTTCATCTCAATGCCTCAACCTCTATTTATTTTACAAGAATATAAGATTTTGTTTGGCATCTAGGATTGGATTGAAATACATAACTCACTAATTCAACAAGTGATGCGAAATATATAAGCACACAAATTAAACCCTATTTTTATCAATTGTAGCAAAATACGTAAGTAGGGATCGTTCTAGGCCGGGGATTAGGAGGGATTGCAAAATCACTTAGAATTGACTCAAAAACGTAAAAACAAGTTTAAAACACTAACTAGACTCAAAGAATGTAAAACTATAACTTAAAACACCAAAACAAACCAAAAGACTCAAAATAACACAAAAACACTCAAAACTGCCTTAAAACCACTTTCTGGGCAGTTTTGAACTCTAAACAAGATTTTGACGAAAATAGGTTTTAACTTGACTCAAAACACTGAAAAACACAAACTAACACACTTTCTAACTAATTTGACACTTGAAAACAAAGGGGGATTTGGTTTTTACGAAATTGAAAACAAAATATAAACTTGTAAATCAAAACAGATTTTAAAACGAATTTGGTTTAAATGAATGGATGGAAAGCTAGCTAAGGGGTTCATCTCCACACATGTTATACTTGCATTCAAAACGATTTCCAATTGCTTTTCAATAATCTATGAATTCTCAACGCCCCAAGTTAATTAGGTCCGCTTAAATTAACCTTCAGATTTTCCTAACGTTATTGAATTGGATGATTGCATACGACAACCCAACACATTCCCCACAAGTCCCCTACATGATTGCATAATAGAGATACAAGCAAGAATCATTAAGTTCTATGAAAACCATAAGCATTGACGAAGCACTTGTTACTATGATTGCATGAAACTTATGCCAAGAATTTACTTAACGCGATTGAGATCATCAACCTTTACTACTTGTGAATATAAGTCCATAACGATTAGGTGAAATTTCCTTATATCCTAGCATTCAATTTATGCATGATAATTAAGCGTGCACTCTCAACCAACACACACAAATCAATGTAATTCACATAGATAAGTAAATTGAATTCACAACTTATGAAACGCAATTAGAAGTAATCAAATCATATCGCAAGCATAAACATGTATTTCGAATCCCCCCTAGCCAAGGGGGGTTTAGTTCCTCATACTCGCAAAGCAAAGATACATAAATTTAGACATTAAAATCAAAGGAAAGAAAACACCTAGAATGCTCCAACGTGGCAGCAAGTGCATCCAAGAATCCTCCTTCCTCCTTGCTGCGGCAGAGAACTTTAGACAGGTTTTTGGGGTTATTTGTGGTGTAGAATGGATGGGGAATGGTATGGAAGGCTTTAGGGTTGATGGGTGGTGCGGCTAGGGTTGTTTTTGGGCAGAAATTTGGGAGAATGGTGGTGGAAGGGTGCGGCAAAGGCTAGGGCAGATTTCTGGCGTGATTTATGAATGTGAGAGGAGGTGAATTCGGCCAAGGGGGTTTATGAGTATTATAGGCACTTAAAACCCTAGGTAAATCAGATATGGACTTGAATACCCCAAATCCACAAGGAATGAGGCTTAAAAATCAGAATTAAAAGGGGAAAAGACCTCCTAGGTGCGGCTGGATAGGGAGAGGAAGGATAAGGCTTCTAGAATGCCTTGCAAGGCAAGGAACTAGGGCATCTAGAAGCTAGGGTGCGGCACCAATGTAGGGATTAGGGATAGGGCTTCTAGAAAGCCCCAAAACTGATAGGAAATGTAGGAAACTCACGGCAAGGAGGGGAACACTAGAAACTTCTCATTTGTGTCCTACAACACTTAGGAGTCCTTCTAGCATTAGGAAAACATGTCTCAATCCTCCATTGACTTGGAATTCCTCTCCTTCTTCATCTTGGAAACCTTTCCTTCTTGGACTTGGAAATCTTTTCCTTGTAGCTGCAACTTGATGCCATTTGGGGTTTACATTTCCTACTTCAAGTAGGAAACCTTGTTTGAGTAGGAAACTTCATTCGTCTAGGAATCCATCTTCAACTAGGAATCCTTGATTGATTAGGACACCTTCTTGGACTAAGATTTCATCTTCAATTTGGCTCTTTCCTACTTCAACTAGGAATCCTTGCTCAAGTAGGAATCATCATCTTCAAATCTTCATTTTCGTCCAAACCCTTGGCTCCAAATATGTGATATCCAATCCAAGCTCCATTTTGCTCCAAAAGGCTCCAAATTGCTTCTTTTTATGTAATATGCCTTTAAAACCTGAAAACACAAGAAACTAGCTTAAAAGACTACTTTACTAAGGAAAAACACTATAAATGCACAAGAACAAGCTAAGCTAAGGCGCATAAATATGCTCCTATCAACAAGCATGTTGAGGGAAGAATAAAACTGTGTCCAACTTGAATGTCGAAGATAAATTACTCATTAAGTAAATTTATCAATTTCAATCCTCCAAAATGGTAGAATTACAAGTTTACAACAAATAAATATTGATGTGACAGAAAAAAATTAATATAATTAAAAAACAAACAACGATTAATGATTAATGGGACAGACTTGGATCCCTCCTGAGCTAATGGAGAGGATCCTCCTGACCACTAATCATGGGCCGTTGGATTTTTATCCAATGGCCATAAACAGGAGAGTCCCTTTAAAGTTATAATAATTATAGCCGTTAGATAAAAATCCAACGGCTCATGATTAGTGGTTAGGAGGATCATCTCCATTAGCTCAGGAGAGGATCCAAATCCAATGGGGACAGTCTTCTTATTCTACCCGAACCCGAACCCGAACCCGAGTCGTGTGCTTTTCAGCCTTTCACTGTGAGAAAGTTGCTCCGACACAACAACAACACACAGAAGAGGCCACACCAAGTTTCGCTCCATTTTCCACCCTCAGGTTCCTATCTTCCCCCTCTCTCTCTCTCTACCCCCTCCTTTTTCCATATTTTTAATTTATATTTGTTTCTGGGTTTCGATTTATATGAATTATCTTATCTGCCACTCCAATTTTCACATTCAAGTGAAAAAATAGTTCAATTATTCAGAACCCCCAGATAAATTTCGATTGAAAGTTTGGGACCTTTTAGAATTTTGACGTTTGAATTCAAATTTTTTTTTTGCTTTCGGATTTCTGTATGTTCTTGCACTTGCTCTGATTATGTTGTTTGAAATTGAAAATTGGGATTTACTGGGGTGATCTGCCTCTGTTTTTCTGATTATTTTTTGGGGTTTTTTTATTAAATAATAATTAAATTATAGAGTATAGTGTAATATGCAACAAAGATTGAAGCTTCAGCAACAACAACAACAACAAGCTATAATGCAGCAAGCCCTTCTTCAGCATCAGCAACAACAAATGTACCATCCTGGTGTGCTCGCTGCTGCCATGTCTCAGGTCTCTCTCTCTCTCTCTCCCTCCCTCTCTCTCTCACCCTTGTTTGTGGAGAAATTATTGTTTGCCTGCTTTGATCACAAGCTTAGATGATTTAGGTTACTGGGTTTCACTTGATTCATTCAGAGTTTCAAGCCTTATGTAATTCATCAGAGTAGCAAGTATATATTGCTATTACATTTGTTTTTTGATGGGGGCTTAAGTTTATATATACCCTTTGGTTGCCAAAATTTTGTTTTGAACTCTTTGGTTTGATACTTTTTTCGGGATTTTGGTGCCTTTTCATAGATTATTTGGGGCTAGCATCATCTGTGGTACGGTCTTAGATTTTCTGGGATTATTTGTTTATCTTCCTTCTACATTTTACAATGTGCAGATGGAGCCTATCCCTGGTGGAAATCTGCCTCCCGGATTTGACCCGTCTCAGTGCAACAGTGTGTAAGTGTTAGATAGCGGTCTTCTTTTTACTCTATTTCTGGAATTTTATGTTTTCCTTCCCATTCATCTTTACGTTTGTCTACTTGAAGTTTCTTTAGCTGAAGTGGACAGCGGAACTTCAAGTAGTTCATACCATTTCATATTCAAAAGGATATTTTTCTTTTGAATTAAGGCTTATTTATTTGATGGCGGGTTTCAGCTATGTTGGAAACATTCATGTAAATGTCACCGATAAGCTTCTTGCTGAAGTCTTCCAGAGTGTTGGTCCTCTTGCAGGATGCAAGCTCATCAGAAAGGATAAGGTACATCACATGATTCAGGTTCTTTTGAATCATTGTATATGATTTTGTCATTGTTCTTTTGAAGGTTCTGTTTTTCCTTCAGTTAGATGGAAATATATGCAATAGACGGACACACCCATAAGACATTTAGAGTATTCCAATTGGTGAACCATTAGGAGTCATGAAATGATTCTACAATTGCTTATACATTGATCTTGTGACATGATGTATTTCTTAAACAAAAAATGTAACTAGCTGAGGAAATTGTCAATTGCGGCCAACATAATAGGAATCCTGTGTTTTAACTTCAAAATTGATTTTCCTTAACGTATTCATGATGTGGCTGTATATATATATTTTTGCAGTCGTCATATGGATTTATTGACTACCATGACCGACACTCTGCAGCCCTTGCAATAATGAATCTGCATGGACGCCAACTGTAAGCATTCACTTACTTTAGAACAAGTGTGGCTATTCTCTTGCCTTTCTTTACTTCGATCATGTATGTCTGTCAATAGCTTCGAGGATTGATTATATTCATTAGTCTTTCTAAATCTGCTTTGCAGTTATGGTCAGGCACTTAAGGTGAATTGGGCATATGCCAATAGCCAGAGGGAAGATACTTCAGGTTGCCTTGAGCTTCAGTTGTTCTACTGCTGTGCTTGCAATTTTATTTTATTTTTACAGGATCTTACAATTTAATAAGGGTTCATTCCTTTAATGCAATTTTACAATGATCAGGGCACTTCAATATATTTGTCGGTGATCTTAGTCCAGAGGTTACAGATGCAACTTTATTTGCTTGCTTCAGGGTCTATCCTAGTTGTTCGTGAGTTCCTGTTTCTTTTTATTATCGTTTTCTATTTTCAAATTTATAAAATTTCTACTCAGGCGCTAGGGTACCATGTTTTAGTTTTTCCTCATTGCTTTCATCCACTGTTCATGTTACTGACGGACTAAAGGCTCAGGGCTGAAACTTGGTGTAGAAATATAATAGTTCCACTTATTTGTGTTTCCACCTGGGTGTGTAACAGTGTGAATCACCTATTAAATTCCAAATGTCCTGCTGTTAGGTTTACAAGCTTTTTCTTATTGTCCTTTTTATCTTTTGCAGTGATGCAAGGGTCATGTGGGATCAAAAAACTGGCCGCTCAAAGGGATATGGCTTTGTTTCTTTCCGTGAACAGCAGGTATTAAGTTGTTGTGAGTAGAAACTAGAGTTTTGGTGAGATTCGTCCCACGAAAAATCTCCTCCCACATTTGTTTGAAAACCTAGAATCACATCAAGGTAGCTAGTTTTTGCACTCTTTCGTGTGATTAGTGGTGCACATGAAATGCATAAAGCAACGCTTAGTGAAATTGGTTTTTCCGTATCATTTTTGCTACTTTGTGTACCTAGAAGTGTTGGTATTAACATGACACCATATTTTGGTTTATCAAGTGTTGATTTTACATTCTTAGAACTCTGGTACATCATAAACTGATTAAGTACCTCTTGGAATTTTTTTCAGGATGCTCAGAGTGCTATAAATGATTTAACAGGTAACACATCTAAAATGTTGCCTCATGTTGCGTAGTTTTCGTCGATGTTGAAAAATAGTAATACCAGTAGTGCTATGGTTGATGCGTTTTGGACTTCATTGTGTAGGTAAATGGCTTGGAAATAGGCAAATAAGATGCAACTGGGCAACCAAAAATGCTGGTTCTAGTGAAGAGAAGCAGAGTAGTGACAATCAAAATGCCGTTGTGCTTACAAATGGATCTTCAGGTAGTTTGAAAAGTTTCTGACTTGGTTGGCCCACAGTACTTATGATGTTGTGTTAAGCCTGGGATTTCTTGTTTTGGCCTTCTGGGACTTCAATGATTGTGGCATTTGAGAAAAGATTGTGCCAAAGGAGCAAATATGAAATTTAAAGATTGTGCTCAAGAGAAAATATGAAATTTTAAAACGGGATCAAGATGTAGGCCCTTCATCTTGAATCCGTTTCCTCTGCCACTGTATGATGACATATAAACATATCAGATTATCCTGGTGTTGATTGTCTCATGTAACAAAGACCGACAGTAGTGAGTTCGACATTGTCAGTGAAATTTTCCTTCATGTTGGTCTAATATAGCCATAGGTGTTTAACCTTTGCATTTTCTAGTGCAATTTAAATAATTGGCTAAAGCAGGTAGTTCTTAGATTGATGGTTGACCCTGTTATATGTTGCCGTACTTTATGATACTGGGATTGAGTGGGAAGTTCAGACAAGACTTGATGTTGATGGCTTGTTTTTGTGGTTACTTTATTTTGCAGATGGAGGTCAAGAGAACTCCAACGAAGAGGCCCCTGAAAACAATCAAGCATACACGACTGTCTATGTTGGCAACCTCTCCCATGAGGTGATTAAACATTGATTCTGGCTACGTTACATTTGGATTTAATTTTTAAGCCCTAAAGTTGGTCTGATGACTTATATATTTGGGTGCAAATACGTTTTTAGCTATAAACTCTCGCTGAAAATCTGGTCTTCCTTTTCAGGTTACTCAAGCTGAACTTCATATTCAGTTTCATGCTCTTGGGGCTGGGGTTATTGAGGAAGTACGTGTGCAGAGGGATAAAGGTTTCGGATTTGTGAGATACAACACTCATGATGAAGCAGCGTTGGCTATTCAAATGGGAAATGGCAGGATAGTTCATGGAAAGTCCATGAAGGTAATAGAAACTCTACTGCAGATTTTGAAAACTTTAATGGTCACGCAGTTCCTTTGCCTCGTTCATACTTTTCTTCATTGCACATGTGCACATGACACTTGACGCCTTTCAGTGGGTTACGATGCATTCAATTGACCTACAATTGAAATCCCGTGTTGACAGTGACACCATTTGAAACGACGTGTACTGTACCTCTGTCGCTGGTGGTAAATCAAATTACAAACAGTGTATTTCTGTCTTGATGAAACATCTATTGTTTTGTGTGACGGTGTATGCAGTGCTCGTGGGGTAGCAAACCAACTCCTGCCGGGATAGCTTCTAATCCACTACCTCCTCCTGCCCAGCCCTATCAGATTCTTCCTACTGCTGGTATTAACCAAGGATATTCTCCAGCTGATTTGATGGCATATCGGCGTCAACTTGCCTTGAGTCAGGCTGCTGCCACGTCCATGGCATTGAACTCTGGCGGATCCCAACCTATGTACGATGCGTATCCTAACAGTTCATCCGGTCACCAGCTAATGTATTATCGTTAACACTAGGGCCGGTGGTGGGTTTTCGGCAGAGTTGCTATTGCGTTTGGTTGCATTGTGCCAATTCTCTCTTGAACATCGTCAGTCAGACCGCTTGTGCTATGCGTTACTACAAACGAGATTGTGCGTCCCGTCTTTTTCTTCGTCTGTTTTTCCGGTTACAGATTGTGAATTCATCTTCAGTTACATGAGTTTTTGATCTCCTATGTATGTTGTATCATGTAATATGTGATTAGAGATGTGATTTTCTTTTTAAATTTGTGGGATTTGTTGTGAAATGGGGATTTATTTTTTATTTTTTATTTTTTGGTTGTATCATGTAATATGTGATTAGAGATGTGATTTTCTTTTTAAATTTGTGGGATTTGTTATGAAATGGGGATTTTTTTATTTTATTTTATAGTTTGGTTAACTTGTCTTAATCAGTTGGGTAACTTGAAGTCAAACTCAACAGATTTATTTGTTTATTGATTGTCACTTTATTTTTTCCCCGATGCAAGGAAGTTCGTTGTAGAAGAGTATTAGAGTTGTTTTTTCTCGGAGTAATGCTATTCATATTATGTTTATGTATTATATTTTCATACCATCTTAGATGATATCTGATGTGGATAGTCACATCATTTGAATTAATCATATTTTTAAATTTAATTTATTATTTAATAAACTAAGAATTAAGAAAAATTAGTTAATTAAATGATGATTGTGATGTACGAGGAGTCTTTCTCCTTCATTTTCTTGGGTTTTGCAAATTTTTCAAATGATGTGGTTGTCCACATCAGATGTCACCTAAGGTGGTATAGAAATATAGTATAAAAATATGATATGAATAACATTACTCTTTTTCTCGTGTTCGTCGTCCTTCGTCATATTCGTGTCTCCACTTTCAGTTTCGACTCAAACAGAGGCAATGAGTATAATTCTAGTGATTTGGGTACCAATCTGTAGCTTATTATATGTAGATTAACACCTTTTCCCATCCAATTATGAATCACGTATCCCAGCAGTCACTCAAAATAAGTTCCTTCTATTTTCTTAATCATTTCTTAAAAATCTCCGGAAAAAATTAACCAAACTGCAAGTCAATCGCTTGTAAAAACAGGTAGTATTTCGCAGCAACATGCATGTATGAAATTGTCAGTTTCTCAAAGGTGGCAAAGCGTTAACATTGTCAGCTAAGCTTCCTCAATTAAGCAAGTATAAACACAGGTGTCACCAACCCACAAAGGTGTCACCAGTCCACGCACATTCTGACGTTAAATTTATCTCAAAAGCAACCATGAATCCATGATTAAATACAATGGAGAAAATGGTACATTTATATGGGCGTCGACAAAAAATTTGTCCGAAATTTCAACCCGGTTTGCAAAAGAGTATTCCGCACTAAGAGATTACAATGATGAACTATCCTTGTTTTGAACTGCTTTTTTGAAAAACACTATGTTAAGAAGCACTTATTGTAAAAGCATTTTTATTAGAAGCATATTGAAATTAATAAAAATGCAGGTGCTATATGGAAGAGCATTTGAAGTGTTTCTTGAAAAAAAAAAAAATCCACAACAGGTGCTTCTAAAGTACTTGAAGTGTTTTTTTTTGAATTCATAGACTTTTTTAGAAGCACATGTTATCTTTTGGGTTCTATGACCTGAAGACAAGGTTATGCCAATTGCTATGAGGTTCAATAATGGTTTGGCTATCTATGTGTCGAACTCTGAATAACCTGAAAGTAAAACCTCACTTTGCCGAGAAAGCTAATGAAGTGACCCCTTTCGGCGAAAGAAACCAAACACTCTTCACTGGTTGAGACTTAAGATAGATAGTCAGTTGAGCTTGAGAGACTCCCCGTCTAATGAGACAACCAAAACTTCTAAGGCAAGTAACTCTACAACTTCGGCTCTGTCTAACCAGACAGCCGCCTTTGCTGGTTGCTTTAGGAAAACCCGCCTAACTAGACAGTCGTTGTCGTTTGGCTGCCAACTTAAACCAGTCTAACAAGACAGAATTCGTGCTAATAATTAGTAAAGTATTTAGTGTTTCACAGAAAGTTGTGAGAGGCTTCGCGTAAAGCATTGATTTGTGTGCTGGGTTGAAGGTCTTTTCTTCTTATAAGCCCATGTAAGGTATATTTTCCCATCAATGTGGGATTCAATCTCAACTTGCCCCATCATGTAAGGAATTTTTAAGCCAAACACGTTGATAACAAAAACTGGGTGACGTGGAGCACGTGTGGTGTTGAGCTTCACATGAGGGACAACTTGCTATGATATCATAAAAAAAGTTGAGGTTTCACATAAAACCAATTGACAATATAGAGAGTAACCTAATTTCTTATAAGACCATATAAAGTCTCTACTCCCATCAATCTGAAATTCAAATCTCAAAAACTTGACGTAAGAGTGTAGGATACCAGGCGGTTCTTGAGTTTTTGGTGGCCATGCTAGAAAAATATAATAGGGCCATTTCCCGGGCATTGTTTTCACATGAATAAGTATTAATTCTATATCTTCACTTGTGCCTCATTTTGGCTTAAACATAATAGTTTCACCAAAATAAAATTATATAAAAGGAAACTAAAGTGCAAAGAGAAGGACATGTTTAGTTTGGGAAAAGTGTTTGTCAGCGAATCATCACACCGTCGCTAAAGATAGCTGAAATCGAAGGAGTAGAGGCTGAGAAAGATATTCTATTCTTCAATCAATGTCGTCTTTTTCTTCTTTGCAAACCAATATTTTCTTGAAACTGTGGGTGAGAAAATAGGACGAATGGTGGAAAAAAAAGAACTATGCTAGCCCATTATCAAGGCATTCCTTTATTTATTTTCATGGAACAGATACAACTCCCCTTTTCTTATGGACTCTTTTTCAGCTGACTGATCGTCGTTTAGTACGACGATTAGGCAACTGAAATGATGTATTGATCATCTAGGTTTTTTTCTCCAAGCCAGGTAAGATGTCCATCGGAAAGAAGATGGCAGAGGGGACCTTCTCCTGGTTTAAGATGGAGCTGTGACAAGCCCCAATTGTTTGGTGCAAATTTAGATGTGTCTCGATGGCAAATAATTACTGCATTAGCCTTGGTCCCATCAGCACCTTCCATAGGCACCATATAGGCCCTTGTCTTTTCTATGGCATGGCACAAGAACACAGCAAATGGATAGCTCATCTTATGGCACGTAACGACTTTGTCCTCCGACAGAACCTTCACTCCATCGGTTATTGTGTAAGTCTGCTCCACATCATTGTTGGCTCCTCTTTCCACCTCCGTCGACATTGTTCGGATGTTACTTCCGAGCTCGGAGGTGGCGAAGTCAACCAGTGATTCCAAAGAGGTAGCACAATATCTTTCTTCTCCTTTCATGGCTGGCATTTCGCAATAATCAATGGTTTCCTTGATTGTATTGGCTTCTGCGGATTCCGGCCTCAGCGAAAATCGTTTGAGAATCTCTTCCATTTTGTTTGATGAGAAGGGGATCGACTCTGCGGTTGGGCGGGAAACGAAACGTGATGATTTGCTAGTTGTATCTCTGGGGAAGCCATATTTAACTGTTTTTCCAGGGTGCAAGTCCTTCTCCATGAGGACCAAACCGGCACAAGGACCAAGAGCATCGGTGGCTTTGTCAAGTTGATTCTCAGCGCCAGCAGGACGGAGAAAGTTCTTGGATACTAAGTCTGCAGATTTAGCAGCATAAACCAAATTAACGCAGCAAAGTACATGCGAGGGACTACACATACGCATGCATGTTAATATATAATTAGTACGTGAAACTATAGACTCTTTGATAACCATTTTGTTATTAATTTTCAATAATTTACACACACACACAAACCTCCAGGATGGACAAGTTCACTGAAAGCTTTAGGCATTGGTGTGTTTGGCAGGACGGAGTTCCAGTAGGAAAGTTGAGGCAACGGCTGCCGGACAGCCGCAGCATGACTTGCCATTGCCACCAGTGTGGTCAGCTGCAACAGTTGAAGTCGAACCATCATTAATTAAGTCGCAGATAATTCAGAAAACAACGAAATTAGTAAAAATTAAAAGGATAATCCAAATGAATTAACTAGAGATGGAGCTAGCTTATGCTTACGGTGAGAAAAGCAAACATTTTTGAGAAACGGAACTCCATCACTACACTACGATACTCTATCTTTTGCAACTCAGCGTTTGCTAGTTGATGATAACAAAAGCGAATTGGTTGAAGATTTATAGGGAAGGGAGGAACAGAGAGGACTGAAGTATATGCATGCATCACATGTAAGTTTGGTTGTCTAGATTAGGTGTACAACATGCAGACCCTCCCATTGCTTCGTGTAAACCTCCTCCATTAAAATGGAACGTTACAAACGCAGAGCATGCAGTGGCTGGAAATTAATCTCGTTCTTCAAGGTTGTAATTTTCTGGCAGAATTCTTTTGTCACGGAAGTAGGTAAGTCTATCTCATGGGGAGTTTTTATGCTTTATGGACAAATTTATAAATTATATTTACACTAAGGGGGATAATAGTTTGGGAACTTTAACGAAAAGTTCTCGGTATTATTTATTTTAACGAAAATACAAAGTCAATCATGATACTATTCATTTTTCCTTTTATTTTATCATTATCGTTAAAACTCAAAGTTCTCAACTCCTTTTCATTAGTTTTCCTTAATAATTTTTTACTAACTATAAATGGTATATGTCACCTTACTCTATGAAAACGTAACGTTCACATATATCAAAAAGTTTATTTGAATTGACCCAAACACCCCCAAAACTAAAAATCAAATCAAATTTTAAATTTTTTTGTTTGAAATTATCATTTGTTTCTTTTATACCAAACTTTTTTTTATATTCCTTTACACCCAATTTAAAAATTAGGAAGTTTTAACAAAACATTTCAAGTACTTTTCACTTTTAATGAAAAACCACATTTTTATCTTTCCCTGTTACTATTCACTACACATTTATTTGTCATTTTTCATTAAAACTAAAGTTTTTTTTGGACTTTTCGTTAACTTTCCTTAAAAATTAAAGAGTAATGCTATTCATACCATATTTTTGTACCACATTTTTATACCACCTTAGGTGGCATTTGATATGGACAGTCACATTATTTGAAAAAGCAAAACCCAAGAAAAGGAAGGAGAAGGTCTCCTCGTATACCACAATCATAATTTAATTAACTAGTTTTCTTAATTATTAGTTTATTAAATAATGAATTAAATTTAAAAATCTGATTAATTCAAATGATATGGTTGTCCACATCTTGCATGAACTATAAGGGTATTAAGCTAATGAGTCATACAATGAAGCTCTGGGAGAGAGTCATTGAGCATAGATTGAGGCAAGAGACACGGGTTTCGGACAACCAATTCGGGTTCATGCCAGGGCGCTCAACCATGGAGGCAATCTATCTCTTACG